AAGGATCGACTGCGATGGCGAAACGCTCCCGAAACTGCAGACAGTGTGGATGAGTAGGAGAGGTGATTTTGGCAAAGAACATTGTTAATTTCAATGAAAAGTCTGCAAGTGATTGGGATGTTTCACGTTTGGTGTAATTCTTGAAAATAAGCAGCAATACTCCAAGTGTTATTATTGAAATGATAATACAACTTCCGCGTTGTCGCCGCAGACATCTGATAAGTTGCGAATCCACTAAAATAAAACAAAACACAACCAGACATTATGCAATTCGAAAAAAGAGGTCGTCCTAGTTAACAACGGAAATGCATATTTATGGGTGTGTGCGTTAAATCTGTAATGTCATGATGTGTGAGAATGTGTTAAGCAAAGTTAACTCTCGATGGCATATAAGAATTCAAATATAATGCGAAAATCGGCGTTAGTTCCATGAATGTAATGACAAAGCAGCAATTAAATGTGTTTGTTGTAACAGATGTCAATGAGCTTGCCTACCGATACTGTTGTCTGGATAAAAGCTATTAAATTGCCAAGAATGGAGATCCGTAATACAAACGAGCCTAGTACACTGCTCCTCCCACTTCCTCTTTTAGACATTCAATGCCAGATTCCCTTAAATGCGCTGCGTCGCAGTCAAACGAATCCCTATGTGGTGTGAAAGCAAGTGGCATGTTGATTTTGAGCTGCTGTTTGGTCATGATCCTTTGAAAATTCCAAAACCTCACTGAAGTGGATATTTCACCAATTACTACATGTGGACTAATTGACTCGAGAATATGAAACCCAGCCACATACCCAAAAATCGTAATTAACAATGGGACACATATTCCACCACACCACCTTCATTTACACCACATGTGCACCCTCTCCAAGTTGCAGCCGTGTCATCATTAGATGGTGCACAGACTGTGTAGGCTGCAAGGTGCCAACTTCAACAGCACCTAGTCAAGTTGCCTTTTTAGACCTCCTTTGCACTGCATCGCACAATGTGGACAAAACGCACGCTCTGAACACATATTTGCACAGATCTGGTCAACGCAAACCTTTTATTTGCTGTCCAGAATTGAAATTTGAAATGTATTTTGCCTTGGATTTTTTATTCACGCAGAAGGTCTGAATGTGAGTTCTGTGGGGAGAGCATTCTGCTGGAATTGGTTTACGAATCGAGGATTGGAGACAACCCGAATGTCAATGCTGTCACAAAAAATCAAAGCAGACTGTGTTTGTAAATTGTTCCAGCAAGAATATTAAGAGGTTTAGAACAGCAATGGAATCACCAAATATAAACACAAACTGAGAAGATGGTTTCTTGATTATGGCAAAAATGTAATAAATACTGAGATAACTCACCAATGTGAAATATCAAGTGATGTTGTGAAGGCTAAGTCATTAGAAATTGCAAGAAACCAAATCGTAAATTGACAGCGCAGTAGCGGAGCAGTTTATACATATACATCGACACTGTTGTTGCATTGGTTGACGGGAAAATTGGCTTTTTCGGATAAAAATAACCACACGCTGAAACTCAAGCACCTTTCATGTGACACTTTAAGTGTGCTCAGACTGTACTGTATTTGCTCCAAGTTCCTAAAGTGCAGCTGGTGCTCTTGCTCAGTTTTGCGCATTCCAACACACACACTGCTATCTATCGAACTACCACACAAAGAGTTTAACGGAGATGTGAGCAAGCAGTCATCCAAAAAATGGGGATGCCTTGTACACTTGGTTCTAGAGTTGTGTGGATGTCGTTCGTGAGGATATTGTGTCCAACGATATATCTTAGGATTTTCGGCTTTACCTTCAAATATCCACTCCAAATGGCCAATATTAAGACTCACATTAACAGTGCTACATAGTCTTTGAGTTAAAACACAATGAAACTCGAATTGACACGCACGTAATTTGGGACAATTTGCTGCTTACGTTTGCTATTATCCCGTTGATCACCGAAAGATAAATCAGTTGTGATATATTTATTCTTGTCTGTTATCTCATACCGTCAGCATACTCGGATGCACACGACGAGCACTCTGGTGATATCGCCACCACAGTTACCTCTAATCATCACCTACCAATGTGGTTTACAAAAGCCTCACACCAAATATTGATTTTGTGCTGCACTGGTAATTGCCATTTGGTGTTTGTGTGTGACTACCACAAAGCAGCCACACCACGTGTTGCATTCAAAGGCAACTCAAAGAAATGAATAATTAAGTGCGTGGGTGTAAATCACGTGTCATTGGGATGGGGTGTTTCACTCTAGATGCTTCCTTAGGAGGATCGTCGATAATGAAAATTCAGTTAGGTCATTGTAGCAAATGCTTGCTTTACTGCAGACAATCGGATCTTATGAAAGGATCACATTGGGCGATGGCACAAACTGCCACAATGGCTATGGCCAAGGCCACATATTTCGAATGCTTCAAAACGTCCTTGTTGGTCGCATCAATGACATGTTGACTTGACGTTCGCCACAGACTGCGTCTAATTGCGCATTTATAAGGATGCGCGTCTAGAGACACACAATAGCAAATAACCTTTTGTAAGCTACGCACACACGTATTCCTACGAATGCAAAATGAACCCGAACAAATCCCGAACACTAATGGGAAATGTGAAGGTGCATTCGCTTACTCGGGTCTCAGCATCAATACAGTTTGGGCGAAGAGCCACGAAGGCTGCCTTGAATTGGCATTCATAAAATATAGGCTTTTGTTTTCCATCTCTTTTTGAACCGATGCTGTATTTGGTCTATCACAACAATTTGCAGTTTAACCTGAAAGCACACAACCACTTGTAACCAGCGCTTCAGATTAACGGTTTAGAACACGAACAGACTCCGATTAGCATAAATATAATGACATAATGCTTACCACGGACGAAAGTTGCCTCGAAACACAAACATAATTGAACTGACTCAAACTTAATAATAGTCTATAGAAGTAGGCTCATGGCAAGGTACGAGTTTTGTTCTGGCTTCCGTTATCGCCACACACTTCATCAGAAGCGCTCAAATAATCCAAGTCAATGTACAATCACACGCTACGTGTAAGAGCACTCTATGTAAACTGAATCACAACAAAACGTGTTGGCTTTTAATAGTGAAGTCTGCCCCATGGCACTTTTGAAACACTTTTACTGGTGAAGATACAGTCGGCCAATCATATCACGAATAAACCGTGGTAAAGCGTTTTCTCCTGAGTCGTATCAGCAAGTTGATGTATTTTTATGCCTCACAACTAAGTCCACTTTCCAATTGCATGTAATTGCAAAGGCAATAAATATATGGTTTAGCAGGGGGGCATTGAATCGTCACACAACGAGAACACACCCTGTCTCTTTGGCTTTGCTAAGTGGTACAGTGAACTAAATCTAACTATTAATATCACTGTAAGTACTTTGTCTCAAATGTTAGCTGACATTCATGGAGGCGGGTTGATATTGCCATTTTCTCATCGAACATAATAAACTGGAAAATGACGTGAAGTATGATGCACTCACGGTCTAAACGTTGTGCATCATTTCATTTTGAATTAAAGGGCAAATTTTGCAACAAAATCAAGGTAATCAAACTACTCCGAAGGAAACGCTACTAAATTTAGCATTCAAGACAAAAATTGAACTTAACATTCGGAGATGATGCAACCCAAATTTTTCAAAAATGCATGTCCAGGAATTCCTACAGAGACGAAAAATTGATATCTCCTGCACCTTTCATAAACCCTTTCAAATTCGTTAATACTCTCCGTCACCGGATCGTCATAGACAAAACAATTCACTCTGCTGAAATGCTTCGTCGTCGCTAAAAGGTACAACTTGGAAATGTCAGCGGATTTGTGAAGTGAGAATGGTGGCCTTATCAACAATCTGGACGAATAGCACTGAGCCGAAGACGTCCATTCTAAATTTAGTAACACCAAAACTATTGGTTAAGTAGTCTAGGAGATTAATGAGAGAGACCTATGCGGATTTGTCTGGCGTCATGAACTCTGCATACCTAGGGGGTTACAATTTGGTTCTAAAAACACTAGATTGAACTTGGTCTTAGGTAAACTCTAAACTTGCATTTATCGCACTGTTGATGGACCACCGCGACATGGTACTATTAAGAATTTGAGAAAGCGATAACTGACACCGAAGAGAGAAGAGCGTGTTGTGAATATCCGTTGAATGCAGTCGCTTATGTGTGTCAGGGAGGATTGAACCGCGGTTCCTCTACAGCATCATTGGATGCAGTTTGTAAGGAAGGAGTCTGACCTTCCATGCGCCATTCTGTGACCAGTGTCACTCTGGAACGGGCTTTCGTTAAGCTCGCAAAAGAAGTAGAACAGTATTCCGTTTTTCGGATCATAGGCAAACCCCACGATACTCCTCGGAAGACTGTCAATTGACGAGTTGAAGACACTCACAATTTACCAAAATTTCTTTCAGCCACTCGATTTTTTTTCAGTTCATAATCATTCATCTCACCTGTGTCAACGTGTACCCAAACTAAAACATGGTTAGACTGACCTCGTGCAGAGAGCTTGTAGAACCTAGAGTTTTAGCACTACCCTGCAACCCTCTAGTAAATAGTCCGTAACAACCCGAGAAGAATGGAACAAGAGGCGACTGACAACACGACCGTTTGTTAGCGTCACGCCAGCCAAGTGTGTCTTAGTGTGTGGATGAATGAACGG